GGGATCATTTCCTCCCTCCCTCCCGCTGAAGGTCTTGCAGAGCGAAGCTTTCACAACTGTGGTTTTTCACACCCAATTGTCAAAGAAAAAAATGTTTTTTTATGTATTGTTGCCCACAGAGATTATTAAAAAAAATAAAAGACGTGGACGTCCATTTAGTCGTAAATCCATCTTGCTAATATAAAGTCGGCTTCCGCTCTGATGATGATGATGATGAAGATGAACGCACAGCAGAGCAGCAGCTGATAAGTTCAGTAGGCAGAAGCTCATTGTTTGGCAGGCAGGTATTAAAGCAAAAATGTTGGGTTTTAATTAAGATTACAGTTTTCTGTAGAAAAATGCTTTAAAATTGCATTATSTTAACTTTTTCTGACAATTTTCTACCGCGATATACACCGTTACCGTGAAGGGGTTCAATTTATACCGTGATATGAATTTGAGGTCATACCGCCCAGCCCTAATTTAATGAAATGGTAAATTCCAAGTGTGTGTTGAAGGTGGCACTCAGCTTCTACCACATCAAGACATCAATATGTATAAATTTGGCATTATAGCCATTTTTATGTTGGCACATTTGGATTAGCTGTGGTGGTCACATTGAGCTGAACTGACCCTAAAGATTGATTTGTTCTAGGCACACATCCAGTGTTTACTTTCTGACAGTTTCAATCAAATCTTCCTGCTAGTTCATGTGATCTTTTAGAGTTGACTCACTTGGTTCATATCTAAATATAAACAAAACACGTGCACTCAGAATCTGTGTCAGGGATCAGTCTCAGCTACCACATCAAATCTTTAGGTCATTATTTACAAAACTGGTGTAGTTGTAGATATTACTCAATTTCCAAGATTAGTTGGCTGTGGCAGCCATCTTGAATCTGTTTTTTTCTAATACGTAATCAGTCATAAAGGTATATTTATTGGTAATAATCTGCAAGTTTCATTAAAATCTGTTAGATTTTAGGTACTTAGACACACAGACAAAAGCAAAAACATAATTGTCCACATTAACCTTGAGTGTCAAACAATAAAAACAAATTGAACGTTTTATCATAATATAAAATGCCTTTCTAAATCAAAAATGTTTTTTCTCTTCTTTTTAAAAACATTGCTAAGCAAAGCCTGCTTAGCATAAGTATAATAATACTCAATTACTGGTTCAGTATGAACTCGCCTTCTTGCCTTCAGCTAACAGACTTTTACAGCTTGCTCTTGCAGAAGGAGTTAAAACAACATTTACAGAAACAGTAGTCAATCTAGCAATAAAAAGCAACGCAGTATGCTGAGAGGTCGGCCCTCCTCAGATGTTAACAATAYAGCACCTTATGAAGGAAACTGATTTATCAAGAGGAAGCACAGCCTGTAAAAACAAATCAAGGTTGTTGTTTTTTTTTATATGGTTGTGTCAGTCTTTGTCAGAAGTTTGCTTGATTGGCAGAGTGCCTGTTCTCGTTTACAGCTCCTTATGAAATAACCGGGCTGCAGCGCGCTGCAACAGCAGTTGTGCAATATTTCAGAGAGAGGGAAGCGAAAAGGGAAATGGCTTCGGTTGCATGTGGCACCTGATCACCACATCATCCCTTCCTCCGAGCACACACGCTAACTCAACATTAGTTGTGTAATTTTTAGCTTATGTCAGCTACGGGCTAAATCTGTGGCAGTGACTCAGTTTTCCCTACAAACAAACTGAGCTGGGTAATTCAAGTCGTTCGCAGATTCCTTTGATTGTACAGAACTTTGTTGTGACTTTAAATTCACATCACGTTAACTTCAGAGTCTCCGTTCATTTAGCTAAGACTAGCTGAGACTTTCTTTGTAGTTGTGAAATCTTGAAATGTAAGCTCAGACTCCTGTTGATTCTGATTAGAGTGTATATCATTTAGGTCACACATGACAGGACTAGCAGCACGACTCTCCATTACCCCGGTTGCCCTGTCTTTCCAAACTAACAAGTTAACTGTCCTGTGATCAAAGGGGCCTCAAGATTTATCTCTTTAATTTGGCACTGAAAATGGCTAATGGAAGTTGTTACCAAGCAGAGGGCCCCCTGTTAGCACTTCGCTGACTTAACCAGAGTGACGGGCATCTGGCTGGGTGGCTGCCTGGCGGTGTGCACCCTAAATTCTTGCAGCACTCCCACATTTCCTCCCCCTTTGCCCCGCAGTGACCTCAACGCAGCTCCTTTCTCCTTGAAGCAAGGCACCATACAGGCACTTCTCAGCAATTTATGTGCTTGTGCCACAAGCAGGGGCATGCCCTGCACTAAAATCCTATCCCTGGCCCATTTAGCACACGCCTCTGGCCTCCCACTGGGCTGGTTATGGTGTTCCGCCACTGTCTGTAAGTCACAGTTATTACTAACTAACCGTGCAAGTACTGAGCTGACTGAGTCATTGTTTTTTTTTTTTAAATTGGCTGCAAGGTGAAAGGAAGATCAAATAATCCCATGGTGTTAACTTATTAGTGCAGATTTTAGTTGGTTTTTTGATGAACTTTGAGTAAGAATGCTCTTCTTTATTWTACAGACAGTATAACAGGAGGCAGAWGGATCCTCGTTGGTTTTGATCATGAAAGCAGAGATGCTGTAAAACTTGAATGTATATGTATGTTAAATAGTGATGTAATCCATCAGGTGAGCGTGATGGAACGGGAGTAGCAAGCGTGTGGTCATAAAATTGTCCCAGGTGGTTACAGCAAGGGCAATCAATGAGCTCCGATCGATAGATGGAAGGAGTCCAATGAAGTTTAGCTGAGCCACTGTGGCTCGTGGAAAAAAAAATGYGYAAAACAATGATGAATCAAAYGTATCAGAAGGAATAGAGGCMTAATGTGATTAATTCAAATCATGCAGAATGTATGAGGTGTTCAGGGATTCTAATGCACATCTCCACTACATGTCATTTTCTCCAAAGGTTAAGTGGTTGTTTTTGCCAGCYCATTTGTCCATATGCTCATCTGTGCATTTGGACCCCGCTTGCCAAACGCTCATGCTGCCAAGGAACACCTCTTGAATATGCAGCCAATTAAAACAATTTCCTCAACAGCTCAGTRTTTAGTCTGAAGTTGCTGAATTGAAATGCATGCTGTGATATTGCAGACTAATCTGGGATGTGCAAGCTTTAAATCTTGCATTATAGTGGCTTATGATCCAGTCACGATCACTTGTGCAGAGCGCCGTCTTTTGCATAACTTGTTGCATAAGAGCTCCTCTGGCTGGCACACACTGTCATGTACGGTCTGTGTCATTTCTGCTTTTGGTCAGGCTTATTACAGTACAGGCCGTTCCCTAATGTCACTGGAGTTGCAAAACCTCGCAAACCATCTCTGCTTTTATTTTTTTATTATTTTTTTATTTTTCTGTCATCGAAGAATGGCTTCCTGTTTTCACTGCGCTGCCTTTCTCTCTCTGGAGGTGTCGTAACCCAGGAGGCCGTGCCAAGAACAAACCAAGGTCTAGTGAGGAGAGATCGCTCTGTGCTTGCAATGGAAACAGACGCACACGCCCACACATGCACGCCTGTTTTGCAGACTATCCAGATGTTAAAATTGTTTGTGTGTGTGTGTTTGATGTGTGACGTGTATGGCATGTACAGAGCTTGTTGCCAAGCCATAAAAAGTCATTTGCYTGCCTCTGATTTGATGTGCCCTTCAATAGCACCCTGTGTGTGTATAAGCCAAACCTCCTGTTTCCTTTTTTTATTGTCGAATAGGGCTGTACACATTCATAAAGTGAAAACCAACATGGCAATTTAGCCTGTAGCTCAAGGGCTGCATAGTTGATGTACTTGCATAAACAGAAATGAAGTGTGACGCAAGTCGAGTTGTACACAACCATAACTTCCTATCTTTAAGATCCTGCAATGAGTTAACATTACTGATATGCATGCATTATACTGTAATTTGTGTTTGGCCTACTGCCTATAATAAAAAAAAGCGTGTTGAACTATAGACTTCAGCTCCTCCTAAAATATTTTTTTGTTGCACAACATGAAATGTTTATACAAGTGCTCTAATTGTAGGTATTCTCAAAAGTTTTATTATTATTATTATTGGAGAGGTGGAGATTTATGACATGAAAGTGATTCATTTAAAATCTATTCTGCAAAATAAAGAAGGGGGTGTCCAGTGAGACCAGTGGAGCTGAGAAATCTGAAGTGTCTAAGTTWAAAAAAAATCTAAAATCCTGCTGAGGCAAACAGCACTATTTGCCAAAATCCTGTGGATTTTAATTCAAACCACAACAAATAATACATTKTGTTGCTGCTGTTAATATTCCGGTTGGAGAATCGGCCAACATAAATCATGCAYGGGGAAGAAGATGACACCCTCTGCCACAATTTGCATATTCATGCAATTTAGAGTCAAGTCTGACCGGTCTGAGGGCGGAAAGATTGACTCATCAAAGTACAGATCTGGATGCTCTGTAGGATGAATTGCAAAGCAAATCTTGTCAAATCATCCATCAAAATGTACAAATGTCAACATTACACTTGAATAAAAGAGAATCGAACTACTGGGTTTTTTTTCTTGATATTTGATCGTTTCTGACTTCACAACAAACTTTAGACTTGATGCAAGTTGGGAAACAGGATGGATGGAGGTGGTTAAATATGAGTTACCATGAAAAAAGGTGCAAAAGTTTGTAAAAAAAAAAAGTCAATCATTATTTATTAAGATATCCTGCCTGAGACGATCTATCCAAATCTCTGTTTTCTTTGCCCGATTTTTTCTTTCTGGGTTGTGCTGACAGTCTTTAGTAGTCTCTGTGTGACAGGCACGAGTTTATGCAGTTATTCACTGAGTAGTTAGAGGTGTTCGAAATGTACTTTTAGACAGTAAAAAGCTTTAAATAATGCTGAAAAATGGAAATAAAGTTTGAAAATGTATGTAGATTTACATTTTCTCTTCTATTTTTGTTCGTCTGAACGCAGTCCTGCTGTTTGATGTGATTCAAGGTTTGAGCATGTTTCATCACAATCCACTTGTCTCATTTTGTGCAGCTGGTGAAAAGGCCATAGTTTGTGACCAGTGCGGCGCCCAGTTCCAGACAGAGGAATCCCTGGAGGCTCATCGGCAGATCCACACTGGTATGAACACACACGCACACAGTCAGACGTAGCATCATGACCATGGACAGACACAAAAAAATAAAGGCCTTTCCGCATTATCATTGTGCAAACTGGCACAAAAGGCTTGTGCTGATTATATTTCCATGCTAATTTATGGAACAAGCTTTTACTTTTGTATTAACAAAAGTAAGCTTCACTCTATTTCAGTGAGGCTATTTCATAAAAATGACAAGGAAGTTGCAAAAACAGCCAGATGTATTAGAAACTTATCATGATTAGTTCAAAATCAACTCAATATATCAATCACAGATTTAATATTCTACTCTTTCCATAAATTCGGATGCATAGTGTGTATTTTAGGTGGGATGCATTGGCTCGTGTTCCCCTTTCAATCAGTCTTCTCTGACTAACTGGAGCCATGACTGACAGACAGATCGCATCATCTCGGATTAGTCCCACTCGTCCTAAATCAAGACAGACCCAACAGTAATCAACRAGCCGAGAAAATTTGGCAGGCCACCGTTGTTTATCAGTGCTCTCTGCTATGAAGAYGGGAAGACGAGGATCATCTAGGTGCCAAGATGTAAATAGGAAGAAGTAAATCTCCCTCCAGATGTGTGATAGCTCAGAGCAGTTTCACTGCTGGTGCTGAACTCTTTAATTTRAGGAGAGAGGGGGCTCGATTGTGGGGAATTGCATCCACTTTGTTATAAAGGAGCTTTGTTTATATATTCAGGTTCAGGATCAAGTTTTTCCAGTTTATTTTTGAACATCTCCTCTAGTTTTACTGTATCACCCAAGGCTTGTGTGAGCTGCCACATGGCTGCAAAGTGTCTGAAAAATATTATCTCACCAGAGATATGTCTAATGAAAAACAAGGTGGAATAAAGAGCATGTAATTATTTTATGCTGGTGCCTGCGTTAATATTCTCTAATTAAAACAACGCTTCAGATTAGTTACAGATTACAGTGTGAGCATCAGTGTTTTACTGATGCATCGTATATGCAACATGATATAGCAGGAGGCTTTGATAATTCAGAATCTGTACTTGTGGCCTCCTTGCAACTCAAGTGTTTGCAACCCAGAGCAGCAAGCAGCTTTATTACATCCTTGCCTGCAGCGAGAGAGAAATCTAATGAGATTACAAAATGCCAAATTCAAAATACATCGTTTATGCTCTGAGAAACATGCATGCCTTTATTGCTTTGACAGACAGCTCGGTGTGTCATAGAATGCAAAATATGCTAAAAACAAAATGTAAAGAAAACATATAGACCTTCCAAACTCAGTTTAATGTTTTATAAAAGGGTTTTTTTTTGCTGTTGTGTCCCTAAAAAGGACAAAGTTTCAAGTTTGTCAAGCAGAATCAGATAAGTGGGGCTTGGGCTTAAAATATTACATCTGATTTTCCACAAGTTGTTGGCTTTAAAATCATTATGTGTTTTGCCTTTTTTTTCCTTTTCAACATTTGATAGGGGAAGGGGCGGAGTAGTGGGGACTCGGAGGCRAGGGGGTGCTGCCCCTGAGGGGCATGCCCTCAGAACAGCCAGCTCGTTGGTGGTAAAGGAGGGTTAAACAAGGCTAACGATTCAACAGCCATAACAGCGGAAAGGAGCATTCTAAATATAGGCATTCCAGCCGGGAATGACTGAAAAGGGGGGCTGGGGGGGAGGAGAACAGGGGGGCGGCTACAGCCAGGGCAAGTCATGTATTCCTGCCAGACAACAGCAGCAGCAGTAATCATCTGTGCGTTGAGGCCCTGTGAGGGATGAGAGTTTGAGAAATGGGCTCTGGGAAAACATGACACGACAGTTTAACAGCACTGCCTGACTCTCACTTTCCCTTTCCCAGTGAGATTTAAACCACTTTGTGTTTACATTGTTATCAGAACCAGAATCAAGCTTTAYTGGCCAATGAAGGAATTTATTTTTTGGTTCTGTGTGTTTAAGAATTACAAACATTGTACGCAGAGCAGCTCATGRCATCACGCCGCCAGGTAATGACATAAAAAAAGAATAGAGAAGATGATGACGAGCAGGGTGTGGTGGATCGGAAATCATTTTCTCCGAGCGCTTCCTGGTTCTGGAGCTGTGCAGGTCCAACAGTGTGGGCAGCTCAACACCAGTGGTCTCCTCAGCAGTCCTGATGATGCGCTGTAGTTTGTGACGGTCCTCCAGGGCTGAGCTGCTCACATGTTCAACAGACTAAATGCATYATGGGAGATATAGTTTAAGCTCAATGCTGACTTTAAAGCAGCTTATTTTGAGACATTAATACAGGGATATTCAACTTTCTCAGGGGTCTACAGTTAAGCAATCCTTCACATTTTATATGTTTATTTTGTTGCAATAAACCATCAATAATACTTTACCATTGATGTAAGAACTATTTTCATATTWAATTGAGTCAAATTTGGGGGTGGGTTTTTTTGGCGCCTTCAGTTTAACACGTGCACTTTTGAGTTCAGTATGGGTCCATCAGACAATATGTCGTTTTTGTGTGTGTGTGTGTGTGTGTGGTGTATGTGTGTGGTATTCCATATGGTGACATTCAAAGGTTAAGTAATATTCATGCTTTCAGCTAAACAGTGAGCTGATCTGTTTCCAACATGAGATCAAAAAGGTAAACAACAGACCCTCCTGTCTCTACCAGTATAAATAGAGATGTTTGAGTCTTGACCTTAATATGTTGAGTTCTTTGAGATGACACTGTAATCTGTAATCTGCTGTAAGAGAATTGCATCAACATAAATAGGAAGGAAAACAGCAATTTCAATCCCACTCCTTTCCTTTCCTAGTTAACCYATGATTTAAAATGTTACATTTCATATTAAAGAAATGGCTTTTGTATGTTTAAAAAATGAAAACGCTTTGTCAGCATAGAAAGCTGGAAAACTGTTAAGACAAGAGATGAGATAAAACTTTATTGACCCCCACAATGGGGAATTTGCACATTACTGCAATTCAGGAGAGGAGAGGCTGAATTAAAACAAAATAGAATAAAAAGAAAACATTAAATACATAAAATATATACCAATGCTTATATACACACACATATACACACAGATATCAACCCACCATATACATAAACGATGAGTTTATTTAAAAAAAGGGATTTCTGATTTTATGTAAACTGCATATAAAAATGTATTCRTACAGAAATGTTTGTCCAGAACCCAAGACACACAAAAAGTGGGTGTGTGGTGGAAGCAGCGGGTTACTGTTGGCCATCAAAGCCAGATTTGATCTCTGCCTGCCTCTTGGCAGCGCTTCAGCCCTTGGCTAATGTTCTCTGATGACAATATTTGGCCTCTGTGGTCCTTTCTCGCTGCTCTGAATAGGAACTATTGTCGCATCTCCTCCGTCGGTCTGATCAGCTGCAGTCTGACTCAAACCCCGTCTCCTCCTCGCTTTCTGTCTTTGTTCGTTTGTTTGCGCCGACACAAATAAATGACCGTGCTTTCCCTCTCCTTGTTAAGAGTTTAACAGAATTTGTCTTTGGGTGAGTCATTGCCAGTTTTTTGCTTCTTTGCAGGCGTGGAGCAGGACAGGTCAGCTCTGTCCACAAACTCATTCTGCTTGTTTAGTATATTAATACGAACAATGTCTGCCCCTCTGATGTTTGAAGCTGCAACTTTTGAAAACCTTAAAGAAAGTGTTTATTCAGAACAATAAGATATTTTCTCTGATGCTGAGGCGGTTCTGAGCTTGTCATCATAATGGAAAGGCTCTTTTGACGAGTTGACGGAGGTGGGCTGGTCGGTATGCCAGTAGAGTTATAACAGCAAAACCTCATGTGTCTGTTTTAACCCTCTGAACTTGTGCAGAAACACACAAACATCCTCTGCCAGCCATCGCCCCTCTTTGTCACTGTTGTGCAACACAAAGTAATCCAAAAAATGCCCGTGTTCGTGAGCCAAAGTTACTTGTGAGCTCCATCACATCTACTGACGGCGAGGTTTTGTCACATGTTTTCCCAAATTGGATGGCGTTGCATCAGAGTCTTTTCTTTCTCTAAACTGGGACTCGCCGTGGGGCTTTTGTAAGCAAAGAACACAGTCTGTCTGTCTTTCATGCAACACTCATCCTTAAAGGGAAAAACACTGCAGTCATTTAGAGTTGTTGAGCAGTTGTTACGCATGCAGTCTCTGTCCTCAGACACTTGTGTAATGAATGCAGAGATGGTTCTTATTTTAGGTTCTGATCTCGTACTGTTAGCCTTCCCAATGAAACCGAAAACATAGGATTTAGCTGATGGTTGGAAAATGGCAGAAAGTAATGAAATGGTGTAAATTCAACTGTAAATGAATATAATAATAATTTAATTAAATAATCAGTTTCAGATGATGTAAAGCYTGCCTGCAGTTTGTTTCTATAAAATGTTAGTTTAAAGTGCAAAAAAGGTGAGTGTTTTGGTGTTTTTCTTTACTCTAACGTGCCAATAGCTATTCAAAATCATTGACAAATGTTAAAACCTACCCTGTCTAATATGTAGCATTTATATAACTTTTTCTGAGTTATGTATCTTTTTAACAAGGTATACATTTTTTCAGCTTGGAGCAAAATGTATTAAGTGGGGATAAAGAGAAGATCAGGCAATTTTCTTGTAACAGTTCTCAATCCCTGATCTAAAGGAACATGATTTTAGTTTTATAAAAGTTTAAAAACTAATTATTTCATGCAAGCAGTCATAAATATGCCATGCCTTTTATTATAAAGACACTTTGGAAGTTTAAAACCAGAAGTGGATGGACATGTGTTACTTCTCCTTTATTGCTGGCACCCTCTCTTGTCTGGGATGAGCCRTAAACTGTTTCCAAAGCTCTTTGAAAGTGAGTTTTATCCCACACTGTTATTTCACACTGTTAAACAGTTGTGCTCATTTGAACACATCCAATGTTGCGTTTTCAGTAAAGCCTCTCCCGGTTGATCCGCTCTTGTGTGATCACTTCTCCTGATGATTTTCCTCCGCTCCTGTCTTCATCTCTGCATCTCTGCCAGCTAGATTCATTTTCTTT